CACAGCAGATGGGTGCGGGGGGGGGGAGGGGGGCGAAAGTACACTGCTGCTTCTACATCCCTACTTCAGGCTAAGCTCTAATAAAGCTTCCTAGTGCAGTGTTTCTGGACCATATTAAGAGAAAAGTATCAAAAAAAATATTTTAAAGTAAGGTTTGCTCATTTGTTTTCTAACTTCTATGTCATTTTACACTTTTTTCCCCTCTGTTCCCCCTGTTTTTATGTTGCAGTTTGATTCTCTCCTCCTCTTTGCTTTTTCCAGAAGTGCTTACGTGTGTCTTTTTGCATACTTGCCGTACCTGAGCACTCCAGGCACCCCGCACTTCTCTTTCAGTCCTGTACCACCTTCATCCAAGGGTGCTGCTGCACATTCACATTCTCTGGAACCTGGAGCCAGGCTTTTTAGACATATCCTTTTAAGAGGATCACAGCCTAAGTTTTACTGTCTCGGATCAAGCTGTGTGTGCCCCTGAACAGATGAGAGAGGAAGGAAACCCATACACTCCGAGAACGCTGTTCCTGTTTTAATTCAAACTGCATTTCAGAGAAATAAAAAACAGTCACAACTGAGTTCTAGACAGCCACACAAAAATTAAGTGGCATGTCAGGACCACAACATAGGGGCTTAAAATGCCTCAACTAATTTGTTTCCTCCTCTTCTTTCTTCCAGCAAGTTAAAAAAGGGGAGTGGCAGAGGGACAGAAATAGCCCCTGCCAAATATTTCTGAAGAATGCTACTGCTTTTAGGAAGCAGGCATAGACATATTTCCCTCCCAGATTTTACCTCCCCAAAAATCTGACTCCATATGTCAGTGGCATAAGCACATGTCACATTTTTTAAACATTTTTTAAAATGTGAGATCATTACCAAACTGTATCACTTTGCAACATCCCAAATCATTCTTCAGTGAATAGCAAGAAAACATACTAATAATATGATTAAAAAATCCTCAAAGCTTGGCTTTTTCTCACAGTACCCTCTTAAATTGAAAGTACTTCAGTCATGAGTTATGATAAAAAAATCCTGTCTGTTTTATAACCTTAAATATCGATCCTGATCAAGTTTGTTTCAAGCATTAAGACATGCGGAAGTCTCTTTACTAGTATAAAACAGTTTCATCTTATTTCTGCACCAATTACAAAAAAAAGCGCAATAAAAATGTAACTCTTCAAATGAAAAATAGCATTACTGGTACATAATCACAAGGAAAAGACTGAAGCAATTTACCCCAATAGGGCTAAACGGGAAAAACAAAAAGGCAGTTCACATTTGCAGATGAGGGTCTGAAAGACTGGAAAATTAAGAGAATCATCAGAATTTTTTTTTTTTACGTCCACAACTTCTTTTTCTCCCATACTATTTTAAGATATTAAGGCAGATTGACTACATACAGGACGTACAGAAATCCCCATTTAATTATCAGTTCTAGTCATCATGGGCAGAGAGATTCCAGCATGGGCTTGCCAGAAGACAAACTTTTCTCCAAAAAAGAAAACCCTGCAGAATCAAGCTGACTTTTGACAACTGTTTCCGCAATGAGAATTACAGACTAAAACTGAAACGGGTAGAACAAATAGCAGAGGGTGGCTAGTGTAGCTGTTGAGTGGTCACTTTGATTTGTCCTCATGAGAGCTTTTATTCTTGCTTTTAAAATGTAATGACTATGCATGTTTTCTACCTGTTGCAGTCATTTTTCAGAAATTAGTTATTTAAAACCAGAACAGGCACCTATTAGCGCAACAGCCTCTTGCATAAGGATAACTCATCCCAGCACAAGTTCTCAAACTGATGACGTTCAGTGAAGTCAGTAATAAGACCCTTTTGCAAATGTAGACCTTCAAGCTGACAGCACTCAAGGCTATGAGTGGAGAAAGGAAAAGCAGCACGTTTGCAGTCATCTTTGATAACAAAGACGCTACAAAGAAGACAGCAAGAAGTAAATTCGATTGGGTGTTTGCTCTTTTAAAGGCGGTCATTTGGTACTAACACACTCCTAACCGTGTCAGTTGGGACGCACAACTGAAGTACACAAGGTCATGAAACACTCCTTGGGCTTGGCTTTACCAACCCAGAAGGCAAGTTCAAAGTTCCTAACTCTGAAGGCACACGAATCAAACCTCTCTGAGTACATGAAAAAGGGTTTCCAAAAGCAAAGACTTGAGTGATGCAACAGGATACTGGAGGAAGTAGTTTTTTCCTCTTATCACTGTTCAAGTATTGCTAGTTGGCTGCTTGGTAACAGAACTAAGCGTGACCTCATTTGAGCTCAGATTTAGTCCAGACAGTTCAAACACAGTAATTTGTTGTAACAGAAGTTATTTACTCTTACACTTTCTCTGCTGGTGAAGACAGAGAAATAAGGAGGGGTAAGACTAACTGTGGCTATTTAGGGTGTTCACATCAGCAAAATTAAAAATATGTCCCAAAACAACTTCGATGAAATATATTTGTGTATTTTTAAGTAATAAAAGCCTTACAAAAATATAGTTTTGTAACAAAGTCTTTATGAAACTATTACAACAAGTCGTCTTTTTGCCCTAACCTAGATAACACTGGTGTATTATCACTAACACTCCAAATGCATGATCCATTTACACATATTTTTTTTTAATCTCAGTTCTCCCTTGCTTCTAAGGCTCAGAAGACTGTAGACCAAATGTTGAGTTCTGTGAAGTGTTGCTGACTACCTCTGCAGCTACAGTAGGGTCTATCACATCATATATTAGCAGAGTTTGGGTTCATTTCAAATTCCCAAACATTACCACTTTAAGCACTCCAAAACATATGATGAGGTTTCACTAACATCTGAAATCTTGATATGCATAATACTTGGACAAAACCAATTTAGCAACCATGTAATAACACTAAACACTAACATATTAAGTCTTATAGAAAGTTACTTCCATCTTCTGAATCATCTCTGAACTTGAAGTTTTCATATGAGCTTCAAATTGGTCAAATTCCTTTAAAAAGGTCTGGTTCCGCAGAAGAGCTCCTTTTTGTCGTTCATCTATTTCTTTCAAGTATTTTTTCAGCTTCATGTATCTTAGTTTCATTCTACAGGGGAAAAAAAGAAACTGTACTTAAAGAGTCTGAAAATAAAGCAAACTCATCTGCTACAGTCATTTTTCTTCAGACACATACATACTAACCCTTAGGTAGGAGTTGACCTCCCAGCCCCCCAAAAAGGAGCAGACACATTCTTTTGCACAACTGTCCAAAGCTACATTATACAACTGACAGCACGTCTGCTATATAACTTCAGATTTAAACAGGGCTTCTGGTGTTCAAAAGCATAAGTATATTAAAAACTCTTGTAAATTTGTTTCAAATGGATGACGTTTTAGTCACTTCTTTCACATTAAATCAAAATGAAAATTGTATTTAGAAGAACATGCTTTGAAAGTCATACAAATCATAACATTAAGGTTGCGGTTTCACAACTGCTTTAAGCCAGTCTAAATCCATGCTGCCATCAAAACGGGCACCTCACTCCAAGTCTTTCTTTTTTGTGCCAATACTATCTGCTCTGTGGCCACATGGCAAATTAGGCCAAGGGTAATCCAGCTGAAAATCCATCTAAACAGCTCTCACTTCCCCAAAACACAGATTCACTTTCAGCCAGACCTATTTTCTTATCTGATTACAGGACAGCCACACAAGCATTAGTGCCAACCAAGGGAAAACTTGAACCGGGGCAGTCAGGAGCATCTTTTGGTCTCATTCTGCCTGCAGGTCTGCTTAAACCAGTAGTGTAATTGCAACCTAAATCCTCCAAGCTGCCAATATTTTCAGAGAAACTTCAATTCAAAACCTGTTAGATTAAAATAAATCAAATAAAAACAGAAAACAAAGTACACATGATGTTTCCCCACCTGTTCAGGCATTTTTTTTTCCTCTTTAATTTACGTCTTCATTTTCGAAGCTAAAGGCCCTCTTTCAGAAGAGGGGTTCCTAAGGGATTGGCCATTACTGCACCTAGCCCTCAGTCCCTTGAGCCAAGACAGAGAAGTCACCTCTGTGAGCTCCACAAAACACATTTGAGGAAAGGAATGGAACACTGGATGAGACACTTTTCAGCTTTCTTTTGTTGTTGGTTTGTTAGGGGTTTTTTTGCTTTGGTTTGTTGTTTAGGTGCGGGTTTTTTTTTTCCTTCTTCACAGACTATATATGCAATTTACATTAAATAGATAATGCACAAACAATCCAAGGAGCAGAACCAGCACCTAGAATATCCTCTATGACTTCCTAAGACTTTCAGACTTTTTAGCACAAACATGATTTTGTAAAAGTTTAAAAACAACTTGCATGTTAGTCATAACTAAAATAATAACATTTCACTATTAATAGAATAAGGTAGTTATGTTATTGCTGAAGTTATTTCATCAGTAACTTAGACAGGAATCTTACATGATACTTAACATATGAATATAAATATACTGTTATAAAAAAACCTTTCAAGATAACATTCTAAAAGCATTCCATGATATCTAAGTCTTTGTAACTAAAATAAAATAACCTATAAGAAGTTTTTAAAGAGGCTTACAGGTATGCATCAGACTTTCTGTATTCCATCAGTTTTCTTTCTAATTCCAGCCTTTTGGCTTCACTGGAAGAAAACAAACAACATATAGTAAGATAAAACTATTCCACAATTTAAATTCTCAAAATGCAAGAAATAAAGCATTTTACAGAAAACAAAGTTTTTGGAGCAGAGAACACGTTTTTGCTAGATTAATAGTCTTACAGATCAATCTTCCAGCCAAGATTATCACAAAAAAAACCCCACTGGAACAAGAGTGAAGTTGTTTCAAAGGGGAAAAATATGCCTGAACATGTATATATCCACACAAGACTCACCAAAAAGCCAGAGCCTTCTGCCCAGCTTAAGTTGCTGTTTCAAGTCCCTTCTCCAGCAGCCCCAGAAAGGGCTCTAAACCCTGAGGCAGTTCATAAGCTCGCCTCTCCCTTTCTTCCCCACTCCAAACTCCAGAGCAGACCATTTTCAATCCAGGAAATACTTTGCTGAACTTTTTCAAATGGACAGCTCCCCAGAACATCTCGTTGGAATGTATCAACACATTAAAATAGATTTCCAAAAGAATCCCAACTCCCTCCCAGTTTACAAACCCAATGTGCTATCCAAATATTTTATTTAATGATTTGAACTTAAAATCAAGTACATATTTCATACTTATGCATTAAAGCCAAGTACATCTAGAGATGGGCTAGCACTACCTGCCAGAACTTACCAAAGGATAACAGATATAAGTAACCATCAAAAATATTTATGGTCGTGAAAATGCTACGGGGCCATCTCTATCTGCCAAAAGGAATGCAAAGATATAGACCCACAGGGATGAGCAGACTGCTTAAGAACAAACTCCATACCTCACCTACAATCGACTTCAAAGAGAATCTACTTTCAGGAAGAGAAAAGAGTAAAGCTGATAACACTTAATAATTACAAATTGTATCTGAAGATGAGCAACCATCCCATGAGCAACAAAAATAAAATAATCAATTGGCAAGACAGAGGCTTCCAGTAGATTCACATTACAAACCTACAACAATCAAAGCGAGTACCCCAAGTTGTTCATTAAACAAAATAATATCCAATTCTTATTAGCCAGGAAGGTTATACATGTACGAGTGATATGGGCTTATACATGAGATTGCATACACCCATATGGTTAGGCATGCATATCTATGGATTTGCGCACTCCCCTACAAACATGTCCACGTCATAGCCACACACATCTGCCTCCTCCCAGTTGCCCCGCACAGAGAAAAGCAAGGGAAAAACCCTTTCTGCTTCTCAGTCTGAGAGATCAAGGCATCCATTTTACCCATCTGATCCTGCTGCTGTCTGAAACAAGATTAGGTTTTCATGTCATGTATGCAATTTAAAAGCCACGCTTCATCTGGGATCTCATCCTTTCAATTTCCTTTTACATGATGGACAGCTAAGCAAAAGCAGATTTCAAGATCTTGTTTTTACACTTCTAGAAGTAATTTTCATGACTCAGTGAAGAACACTGATATCCTGATGGATGTAAAAGCCGATGGATGCGAACACCCATTGGCTCCAATCCTGCTTCCCCTTCTCTGACACGGCAGGTAGCACATCACATTCCTTAGCTCCCAAAAGATTGTTTCCCTTCTACCAGCATGGTCTTTTTAGTATCCCGTTCATTAGTCTGTTACACCTGTTTAGACGGCACATGAATACATATGTAAGGTCTTCTCAAGGCAAGACAAAGCAGCATAAAAAACATCAGGTAAGAGCCTCTCAGCAGTTGAGTATCATCACTATGGATGCCTAAAACGGTTAGTGCACAGCTTGTGGTGTTTTGCAACACAGCTCTGTCCAAGCACCGAATTAGAAGCAATCAAGACTTTACTTGTGGATTAGCTTGCCCAGGTTCTGGCAAAGTTCCAGCACAGTTGCTTTGTGCTGGTGACAGAAGTGAAGCTTGAAGCAGTACAGAGATCATTCTGGCCACTCCATGGCACCACCTCCTCCTCTTTTTTTATTGGTTTCTTCACATGAAAAACACAAAGCTCTCTGCCTGAAAATTTCATTTGTTCACGCAGCTTCACATTAAGTTAAAATGGTGCAAAGAGACAGTTATCAACTTCTTAAAAGGGCAAAAATAGTACACTTCAGAACTTTTTAAGGATCCAGGTGGCTCATTTTCAAACAACCCTGAATTTTCAGTCTACAAAGAAAGCGTGTTAGTCTGGGATTTGAGAGCAGAATTAAATTCCCTGGTCAGCCACAAGCTCCCTCTAATCTCTGGCATTTCACCAGGCATTGATCTGTAGTGATATTTGATCCCTCACCTCCCATTTAAACCAGCAGGACTAAGACACCTCAATATTTTTTAAGATACCAGGCCTTAGTCTCTTTGTGCTTCGGTTCAGTATCTGCAATATAGGAATAACGGTACTCCTGTCATGATACCCTGTTGAGGTAAGTGCATAGAAAATTGCGCAACACTTCGGCCCAATGCAATCTTCCCATAAAAATAACATTTCTTACTTTTATGGTTGTTTTTCTACACCAATCTTACATTAAATCAACTGCTGAGCACTGAGCTGCATCCACCTTACTAGCCTGGAGCCAGCTCAAGCCTTAGCCAACTGTGCTGGTCCCCTGGGTGGGTTAGAGGGGGGTCTGTTTAGCACTATCTTCTACATAGAACTGGTACCAGCACATATTTCTGAAACTAATAATCCTACCTGGTTTACATTCTCTGCTCAGGACATCCCAGTATTTGTACACATCTACTGCAAATCGCCCTTAGTGTGAAGCATCTGGCCTGGTTGTCTAAAAAGCGAAGCTAATTGCAAAGTTAGTCACAGTGTTAAGTAGAGCACTTAACTAAATAATTCATTCACTTCATCGCCCACACCACTCAAACACTGCCTTTCTCACTAGCAACCACTAAGATTAAGTGCTGAGTAATCACAACATGGTCAGGTCTGTATAAAACACAGAAGGTAAACTCTCTGCCCCATTTCACTTATTATCTTAGACACCTCAAACCTAATTCTTTATAATTTTGCACACAACACAGCTACAACTGACCTCTGCATCTGTAATTTTTGTGTTTCGAATGGATAAAGTACCAGTATTAGGAAATAAAACATGGCCAATAGAGTCTGACATGTAATTTAAGGTACAGTTATGGGGTTTTTTGCACAAGTCTCAAGGTAGTCCATGCTGACTGTTTCTCAGAAGCTTAATAGCTGGTGGCTAATTTCTCAAGCACTTCAGAACTTGGATATTTAAAGAAAAAAAAAAAGAAGAGATATATGAGAACAGGTGGAAGAGAAATACTCATGAGAACTCCCTTCCAGTTCACCAAGTCAGATGGGGGACATAACCAAGCAGCAGCTTCCTCACCATACTCAATCTCTTGCACAGACGGCTTATTAGTAGTGGCTCATTGTTTGCTTAAGCCCAACTGTGAACTGAAAGCAGGCCTGCAGTCAGGGGTGAAACAGCTGTCGGGTACTTCAGGTCTTAGAACAGGCAACTTGGAATTAGATCAATGCAGAATTACAAAGCAGGACTTAAAAAGCTGAAATGCTCTAGTGATTTAACTAAAGTTTTTATATTTTACACTTTAAAAAGTTGTTTAGATAAAAGGTATCACTTCGAGAAATTCTGAAGAGGCAACTGCCTCCGCAGCACCATTCCCAGAGGCAACAGCAGCATACAACTTGCAGTCTGGCATAAAAATTACTCCTTATTTGTCAACACCACCAAGTACAAATACATCTTTTATATTTATTATCACAAGATCTGTTAAGCCAGGTCTCCAAAGGAAGCATGATTGCATAAGCTGTGCTAACTGTCTGCCTGTAATTCCCTTTCCCCAAATAACTCCTGAATCTTTTAGTGCAACTGAATTAGACAGAAGAACTGACGTCCAAAGTGTACTACTATGCTCCCAGCGGTTTCAGAGGAGCTGAAAAGTGGTAGTCCACTTGTGCCGGGGGAGCTCAGCCCTAGCTCAGACAACAGAGAAGCTACAAAAGAGGCAACCCAACTTCATGCAGACAGGGCTCTTGAGAAGCACAAGACATCGCTACTCCTAACATGAGGGATATCTGCCCACAAAGACATAGTTTAAAGCAGCATGCAGTCTAGAACACTCAGATTTTAATCTGCCCTCTCCCTTCGTTTTCTAACACTGCAATTTAGATAAAGTGCCTTCCCTATCTAAGGCCCACATCTTTAATAATTTCTATACAATGAAAGTACACTTTGTGTATTCTTATCCAGTCTTCTAAATAGCAAGTTATTCCCGTTTTGTTTGTCAGTGGTTTTCCAAACCAGAACAGGATATTAGTGAAGATATACACAGCATTTTTGTAAAAGCACTATCTACATGGAAGCTTAGATTCTCATGGCCATGGTGTTATTATTCCTGCTAATACTGTATGTTTGAGATGCTAGCATGAGACCCAGAAATCAAAGTCTTCTCTATTAGACAGAAAACAGGTACTGCTTAAAAAGCAACTTCATAACAGTATACCATAAATGATCTCGAGAGACTTCCTCCGGCCAGAAAAAAAAAAGTGCTTAATTGACACCAATTACTGTGGTTATTGCAGTGAGTAAGAGGCTGGGAGCATCACTAATTGCACACAGCTTCAGAGGAACTGACCAGTGATTGAGATCCCTCAGGCCAAAGCCCCTTCAGAAAGCTTGCATCAGGAAAAAAGCAAGTGCCTGTGGTGAAGTCAGATCTCCCCTGAAGCACCCATAAATTGAAACACCTAAAATAAGGGGTTTTTTTTAAAAGATTCAAAAGACGTCGGTAGGAGAAACATCTGTACCTCTCCTTTCATCAACTAGCCAGCTCTGAAATACCAGCATCTCTATTATTTGCTCGTTTGCTTAAAGTAACAAGCAATTTTGTACATATTAACAGCAACGTTCCAGGAGAAGTTCTCAGACGAGCAATAACAGCTCTACAGCACTTTCAGAGGTCTCCCAATCTGCTAATACAGAAGTCATACAGCAGAATGCCAGAAAACACAGAAGTCAGGTGTTACCA